TACCTTGTGTTTGGTTTCCTATTTTTGTGAAGTGCTATTTGCTATTGGTGCTATTTGTATCATCCTGGGTTTAATAAAATGTTTGGAAAATGCAAATTACATTTTTATTACTGCTGTTCAGACCTCTGTTTTGGCCTCTGTATACTAAGCTGTTATTAGAAATGGTGTAGTTTGTGGTTTCAGAAATATATCTAATATGCAGAGGTTTGGGTGAAAGTAGAATGTGAGTGCCATTTTAATGAAGATTTKGTTTGTACCTGCTGTAAGTATGGTTTCAGTTTTTCTGTTGGAATGTAGGTCTAACAGTATTGGCAACACATATTCACAGATTTTGAAATGTAGGTGTGKGGTGTGCTTTTCTSGCTAAAAATAGTGTTCATCCTTGGTGTTGTGATTCTGTCAGTGAAGGTGTTTTCTCACTGAGTTTCATCAGCCAGACACAGTTTATCATTGGTTGGTTTTTCCATTTTAAAATGCAGCTGATGTCTCATTGTGTGCTACCAACCAGTTCCACATGCAGAGGTCTGTGTTAAATGTGATGTTTAAAATATTTAGAGTTGAGTTCAGTAACACATTTTCCCTCAGTTGGAGTAATAAACAGAATGCTTTATCTTCCACCAGAAGAGCTTTCTGTGTGAGCTTAGTAGACATAGATATATATTTAAAAATATTTTATAATAGAAATATTTTATAATATAAATCGTGTATATATCTACATTTCCATAGCTGTCTTAATGAGCGAGTTCTCTTTTGCTGAGAGTGAGATAGATTTTTTTTCAGTATATGAGTTTTTCACTTGATTTGTGAGGACAGTCATGTAAGTGATGAGCTGTTAACAATACAATTCCATCAGTTTGAAGCAACAGTTGTAATTTCTAACCATCATAATTGGCTTTTTAAGGCAGGAAAAATATATAATAATAATGAGATTTCCAGTCCTTGTTGAGAATTCCGGGCTTATCTTTTAGTGTTTCTTTCTGAATACCCTTAATAGTAATTTAATTTTTAAAATGGCTTTCTTCACATTTGTCCATTTGTTAGAATAACTTGGTAAAATGCTTGCATCATTTAACCAATAGAATTTGAAGAATATAACAACTGGATCAAACTGTCAACCTGGCCTCTACAAAAAGGTGATGACTTCAGGCACATGAAGCATACCATTCTTCATTCCCCATTTTCCACTGACAAACAAAAAAAGCAGGATTATCCAGTATGTAATGAGTACCTGAGAAGTTCTCTGGTCATCCTAAGGTTGGGGTTTGGTGGTGAGGTGGTAATTGAAAGGAAACTTGGAGCAATTCCTGCATTATATGYGTATTTAAAATACATTGTTTTAATATTTTGAATCTTTGCTTCCTGAAAAAAAAAGCAACATAGGTTAGAAATGTGAATCAGTATTGTAAAAATGTTGCTACAAAATACAGCTTACTAAACTTCATTCAAAATGTTCTTTTCTTAAAATATGCATGGTAATTCTCAATACATTTTTATTGATCAGTGGGTATTTGGTTGTTCCCTATTACATTTGTTTCCATTTCTCTTTCTAGATTTGTCACTGRTAATATTCTAAAAGTTGTCTGTGCTCAGCAAATACCTGCTTATTGATTGGCTTGTTCAATACAGACTAGTTTAGTATATAGCAGATTCTACCTGGTGTTTCTCCTCAATTTCCACAAYTAATTTGCTTTGAGATTTCCATGTCTTATTCTGCTGCAGACAGTGTTTTTCACACGCCTGCTTACTCAGCACTTTATATTTCACTTGTTTATCAATCACATGTATACATACCAGTATCATTTGGATTAGACTAATTTTCTGTTTAAATATCACCGTTTAAACATAGTTGTTCCATGTCTACCAAAAGTAGTGTGTCTACCAAAAGTCTTGCAGTCTCTGTTAATGTCTAACATAATGTCTAATATAACCTCATGAGTGTTTTCATGAGGTTATAATTTTGGCTTGAACACTAGAAAGAATTCATGTGTTCAAACACTACATAAGAGTAATTTTACAAATAGTTGGATACATACTGAAAGGTCAATGTGTGGTGAAGAGCAGTGTAAAAATAAAATTATAATGAGCAAGTACTATTACTTTATTAATCAATTGCAACTASAAGGTGACACCTACTCATGTACACATCATACTGCTCCATTATTTTCTTAGTGAAGGACATTTTARAATTGGGGTGTTCTATGATACTGATTGAATGGTAGAGGCAGTCAAACCTGCATTACTGCTAGCTCAGCCAGTTTTGCCCTGCAGTGCTGTTAATCTTAAATACAGCTTTGTATGTATTTTTAGAGACCAAAGATAAAGAAAGTAACTGTTACTGGTGTAGGTAATATAAAAGTGGGTTTTAGAATTATTTCTRCCACATGAAATTCATTGCCATTTTTCTTCAAAAGTTGTGAAGAGGGCATTGCTTTTGATCTGAGGGTGTTTAGCAGCTCTGCACACTGGAACTGTGAAATATGAAATTGGCATGTTATTATAAATTTTTCAGTGTTAGCCTGGCCATGATGAAAGAACAGTAATACAGCGATTAGTTTTGTTTTCTTTCATGAGCAGAACTTTTACAACTTTCTTGCTTTGTCAATACAGAAAGTCAACAAAAAAGCAGTAACGTAAGCATTTTTATTCATCTTAGAATTCTCTTATTTCTGAAAGTCATTGCGGTGTCTCAGAGTGAGTCTTCTAATCAGCTGAGACTTGTTCTCCCCTGCTTCTAAATTACCTGATGTTCATGTAGGCTGTATGAAGGAAGCAGAGCAGATAGTTATGTTCTGTCTCTGGAACAGGATCTTATTGAGATGGCTTAGAAATTACATTATTATACACATGGGGTCAGGAAAACAGAGCAGGGCAGTTGTAATATTGCTTACAATTYCTTCAAAACAAATACCTTGAACAGGCAACACAGCTGTTCTTTTTTATGAACTTTTATGAGCAGTCAAAAGGCTGCTCAGGTGAAAGGACTCATATTGATAGAGAATCCCTCTCTAATCCTTATTAATGTGTATTACCATCCCAGAAGAGCCTTAAAGTCATATGAGCTCAGCATTTCATTTTTCAAGGTGATTTTCAATGCAGGAAAAAGCTGCTTTACAGTTTCCTTTCATCTAGTTAGCAAAATAACATCAGCTATTGGCAGTATATTTGTGGTAGACATCASCTGGGTTTTGCTTYTCTCCATTTAAGTTCATTGCAGAARCAAATGTGTTACATGAGACATATTGAAACAGGTAAATCCTTGCCTGTCAAGCAAATTTATAGTGATYTGATTTCAATTTCAGAGTTCTGCTTTTGAGACTGAGTAGTTATGAAACACGGTGAAGTGGGGCTTTCTCCTTGATCTGTTAGGAATAGTCAGTTTGCAGTGCTCTCTATGTGGGTGAAATATTTGATTCTCTTACTTAAATTGTCTTCAATTTGTTACACTTAAATAGTAATCAGTATAATTCTATTTATAGGTAGTTTTTCTTGAGTGAACATTGATATTTATATTCAAAGAACAATCCAGTTAAAAATGGGGTAACCTAAAGTTCTTCACTTGCAGCTTAGCAACCTGATCGAGTTATTTTTATTTCTTATATTATAATTTATATTTATTTAAAACAATCCTAACAACTGACATAAATCAGGCTAAGTAGATACTTTAAATAGAGATTAATCAGGATGTGAGGATTAAATTAAATTATTCAGTATGATGACTTCCACATACTCTACCACATACTCTAAATTTGCTTATTCACGTACTGTTTATGTGTAGCATGAACTAAAAATGTCAGGGTTTGCATCATTTTCTTTATTGGTTTAAAACAAAATAATAGAAATAGAACTAGAATTATTATTAAATGCTTTTTCATTTGTTTAAACCAGGTTTTTGTGCAGCTGACAGTTATAGAAGCCTKTAGAGTAGTTTGTATCTATGCAGGTGTTTTTCCTCCTCGCTTGCACACTTGTCATGATCAAAAATCCGAGACTTGCTTGCCTGCTTCTCAAAATTGATTTATGCCTTACTTAGAGCAATGTTCAGAAAAACAGCCTCAATGTCATTCAGCTGGAGAAAGCTCCTTCTAATACGTGTGAGGAAGTCATGCCTCTCACAGTTTTCTCTAAGCAAGAGTGTTAGAGATTTAGTTTTTTTTTTCCTGTAACATGGAATGTTCCTTCTCATAACAGCAAATTGTGGTCTCCTAAGGAAAAGCAAGTTCTGCATGAACACCCACATAAGTAACATGTCAAAATTTAGTCATTGTTTTAGTGGAGAGAAAATTGTCTGCTTGAGTGGGTACCAGAGATGTCAGTGGGTAAGGTGTGAAGCAAAGTTGTTACTTCTAAAAACCTTCCCTAGGCTGAAAAATCTGCACAGTTCTATCTCTGTAGCTGTGCATTCAGCTGGGCTTCCCTGAAAGGCTTTTTAGAAAAGCCTTTAGAAAGATCAGCTAAAGGAATAATTTATTTTTCTTATCCTCCATCACCCGCCTCAAGTGATTTGTTTTCTGCCATAAAGCATTGTCTCGTACATATGTGCAAGTCAAGCCACAAAAGGGAAAATGTAGAGGAAAAAAAACTGGAAAAGCAATGGAATGATGCCTTGGAAAAAGGACACACTGGGTCATGAGTGACCATCATCCTGAATGCTGGAGTGAATGAGGAAGAGGAAAATTGCATCCAGGTTATCTTATCCAAGCCACCAAAACTGAATTACCTGGTTGTATCATTTCCAGTTGCTTTGATAGGTAGTGAACTATGGAGTAGACGTTTTGCTTCGGTGTTCACAGATCCCAGCCCAAAATTATTGTATTTTTTGTCTTTATGCTACAATTAGGGCACTTCTCTGCCTCATTATGACCAGGAAAATGAGTGTATTCATTATGTTAGCAATGAATATTATTGATTTGAGTTCAATTACAAGCATCTTTTGCAAATAAAAATTTTTAAGTAAAAATTTAATTTTACTGATATATCTGAATATTTTGTTTTCTCTACAGATGATTCACACCATCAGGACTCTAGTTGAAAATACAGATAGCTTATATGAGAAGATAGTACAGTGTCAGAAAGCAGGTAAGTACAAACTGCTTTAAAAATATTATACAGAACTTAACACATTTTTTCTTTATTTTCCAAAACTTTTAATTGATATTCAACTGTAGCAAAAAATAATTCCCAAAACAGTAACCAAAACCAAAACTCAACAACCAAACAACATAAAAAACTCATACAAAAAAAGGAGATTATTGTAATTTAGGTACATCCAGTAAGAGTGAAAAGACATTTCAAATCATAGAAATCAAAGATTCATGGAATTACATCTTGAATTTGGAAATTGCAAGAAAATTTTATCTATGGACAGTAGCTTGTCAGTATAGTCATTTCCACAAGTGAAAACACAAGATTACAGGAGAGAAAGAGAATGATCTTCCTTCAGAGTGAAATTTTTTAACTGTTTACTCCTAGCCCCTCTTTCTCTATGTGACAAATTTTCTTCCTTTGTTGTGGTGGTCCAGTGTTGCCAAGAGCCTTGGTGAAGCCTGAATTGTCAGAAGAACTTTGCCTTCTGATAATTGAACAGTMGTTCAGATATTTCATTCCTTTGTTTTTCTGTGTGTGTTGGGTGGATGCCCTCTGGTTCTGTGTTGGTCCCACAGCTTTCCTGGGTCTGATATATATATTTGAAATAAATGGTATAGCTGCTTCTTAATCCCTTCACAAGTTGACCCTATTTTTACATGATAGTTTGTAACTGTTTTATCATTTGGACACAACTGAGTTTTGRAGGTTTCTTTCTTGTTTTGACTAGCGTGTCTGACCTTGCTGTTTAATCATGCTTGTTTTCTTTTGATCTTTTAACTGTTTTATAAATAATGTTACAAATTTGCTCAAAGTGATGCATCACGTTTTGCATCAGGAMCAGGAATGCTGCCAAAGAGTCAGCCAAAGCATTTACAATCATGCTTTGCATGACTCAATTGGGACAAAAGCTTTTTATATACAAAYACATTTTTATCTACCAGATATTCAGCATCCTGCAGCCCCCATCATCTCCCATTATTTTCTTCCATTCTTTGATTTGCTTCTCTGCTCTCCTACTAAAGTCTCTTTGTTTTGTTCCTTTCCCCTCCAAAAAATAAAAGTAGTGCTTTTATACTCTCAGCCTTCCTTTACAAACTCTCTTCTATTAGCAGTGACTTTCAGCTCAGATCAGCAGAAGCAAAGGCTTACTCACTCTCGATTTCTAGATCTCCCCTTGATCCACAGCACTCATTCCTCAGACTATCTGAACTTCAGTCAAACCACAGAACTGTCAAAATACCCGAAAATTTTAAGTTATCCCATTTACTTCAAGTTCTCAAACATAAATAATCATAAATGACAAAATATTATTTCACACRTCCTATTGATAGATGCAGAGCTTTATCTAAAATACAGTGGTAGTTTTGGCTGGGATAGTTATTTTTCTTCCCAGGAGCTGAAATGGGGCTGTGTTACAGAGTTGTGCTTAAATGGGGCTGATAATGYAGAGATGTTTTTGTTACTGCTGAGCAGTGCKTACCCAGAATGAATTCCTTGTTTTGCTTTGCTTGTGTGCACAGCTTCTGCTTTACCTTTTCAGCTGTCTTTATCTCAGCCCACRAGTTTTCTCACTTTTCTGATTCTCTCCCTCATCCCACCCAGGACCTTKTCTGGTAGATGATGTGTGTGTTTGCTTCTTAAATCATCTCCCATTTATGTGGTGATAGTGTGCCATGTTTTTTTTGTGTCACCAGCATCTTAAGCAGTTTAGGTTCTTGGTTAAAGGTAAGGCAAAAGCTAGCTGCCCAAATTTTTGTATTTTAGAGCTGTTGCTCTTCAGAAAAGATTGCTTTCTACTGGCTTATATGGATTCMTGTAAACTTCCATATTTCTGATTTTCTTGAGTCATACCATGTTATTTTACATGGGGGCCAGTTGGGCCCAGGAATCCTTTGTTAAGAACGCTAAAGACTTAAAGCCCGTGCTAATTAGTGGAGATTTTGATCTCCTTTAAATGAGAAGCCTCCAGCATGGTGACATAAGCCTAAGTATGGATTATGTAACAGATCCTGCTATTTAGGGCAGCTTTAGCCCTGCAGGGTCAAGGCATTTTTTAAGATGAATGATCTGAGCTCAATTACTTTTTAATATCAATAGTTTTGAAGATTATCTTATGATTGATTGATCTCAGGATCTCAGTAGATGCTACTCTATTTAATTACGAGTAAAAKATTATACGTTTTCCTATGTAGTTTCTTGATAAGGAAAAAGCARAATCATGCCTTTGTCTGGGCTTTTTTGTTCTGTGCCTCAGAGTGAAAAAGCTGCTAAAATAAGAAGCATGCAAGCTGCCAATAAGCCATAAATTTTTGTTGTCATGAACAGGCTCATAAGAGAATTTGTTAAATAGGCAGAGTGGATTCACTATTAAACTGTTTTCTGTCTTAAGTTTAATAATAAGACTTTTGGCCTCCTATAAAATTCAGAGCTTATTTGAAAACAAATGCAGTATTATTTCRTACTTAGGTTGATGGGCTGTTGGATAAGCAAAGATATAATTACTGAGATGGCTRTTTTCAGAATTCAGGTTCTTTGCTATTAATATTCTCTGAGAGCATTTAATTGTAAACATCTGTCCTCATTTTAGTTTTTTTAAAATTAAACCATATTATAAAACTCTCTGTTTTCTTCATATCAGCACATTAATTTGAGCTTGGCACATTCAGTTCTTAGTTAMGTAGTTATTGAAAGCATTTTAGATACATGAATAATGAAAAGATATGGGAACATGATACTCCTTTTCCCCACTGTACTTTTCTTCTTTTGAGAACTAAGAAAAAAATCCACATAACTTSAAGATGACTGCAGTGTCATTTATTTTGTTGCTGTTGAGCCACTCAAAGATGCTGCAAGAAAATGGAATCTAGGTGCTAAAGGGAATTTAAAGATTATCTGGTCCATTCCCTTAATCTCTTAGAGACCTAAAGTACTCCCGTATGTTCACTGGAGTAAAGAGTTTGAATGTCCAGGTCACCTTACCCACTTAGAGCCTCCTTTGTACCCAAATCACATCATTCTTGAATCCCTCTTTTGAATCTCCCATTGCATTTTTTGCTTTATAATTCAAATGAAGCCTCAGCCTGAGTACATCCCTGGTTAAAAGAAAACCACAACTTAGGAATTCATTTTGGTGTTTAGCAGTGGAAGCTCAGAAGAATGTTCCAAATATTCATTACATTATGGGGAGCAATAAGTAGCAAACACAGTTTGCTGACAAAGAATTACTGAACTTAATCAAATGTAGAATGACTGGAGGGTTTTTGAGCAGCCTGGTCTAGTGGAAGGARCCCATGRCAGAGGGTTTRGATTARGGTGRTCTTTAAGRTCYCTTCCAACCCCAAACCAGTCTATRATTSTGTAATCTTGTGMAATAYAACATCAGTAAGGATAAATTAATGACTGCAGGGGAAAGGGTAGCCTTGACAATACCTTCAAGGRATGGTCTCTGAGGTTTCTGTTTTAATTCAGAAAATGAACTTATTGCATAGAGTTCTAGCAGTGTCAGTTTACTGCCAATATGATGTGTAAATGCATATTTCAGTGCTGTTTGCTCAAACTAAGGGTGAATTAATTTTTATGAATTCAGATTCATAAAAAGCGTACATATTTCTTTCCATATGGTTTTATAGGCATAACCTCCCCTAGTCATCTGTGCAGCCAGAATTCTTGTTTAAATTGTTATTTTTTGGGATCTCAGCTACACTATCCTTTTTCTGCATTTGACCATCATAGTTTTGCCTTGTGCATGTCATTTTCCTGGCTGTCATTTTAATGATGTCTGTCCCTGGAAGGATTTTTATACTTTTTTCCTCATCATGCGTCAGGATTGAGTTGCTTCCACTTTTCTGGTGTTTGCTCATTTGGTAGCAAGAGTTTCCAGTGCCTGATGGATTGTCASCCCTCGTCATGCTTTCTATCATGTTGTCCCACGGGCTCTCTGTAAACATCCACCAGGCAACTTCCGTTGAATTTGTTTTTAAAATTATCCGGCAAATATAGCTGGATTGACACATGTCCTCCTACCACCTTAACCAAAATAGTTTTCGTTCTTCCATCTACTCCCCACTCTTTCTTTATCCATCTGTTCTCTTTCTTCCTCATACTTTGATTCTGAGTTGTTGGAGCAGAGTCTGTCTTATTTATCCCATCTGCACAGTGACTGACTTTATTTAATAATGCAAGTAATGAATGACATGAAATGAGTGTATTTTCTAACATGGACTTCAAAGCCACCCTTCAGCAGCATCAGAAACAGGATATGGTTTCAAGAAAGGAAATATCCAGCCATTCTGGATGCCATTAAAGATAAACACAGTACACAATACCTATTGGAAAAAAGTTAATCTGAGCTGCATGCAGAAAAGTACTAGGATGATGGCCATACAAACACTTTCAATACTTCTGGTAGCTGAAAATTAAAGGTAGAAAGCCAATTTTTTTCATATATTTGTAGCTCTTACTTCCCCACTGTTACTAAAGTTTTTCAGCAAAATGGCACTTCTACTGAGCTGTTGAGTTTTTTTGTTTTTTTTTTTTGTTGAGTTTTTTTTTTTTTTTTTTACTTCCCCACTGTTACTAAAGTTTTTCAGCAAAATGGCACTTCTACTGAGCTGTTGAGTTTTGTTTTATTTTTTTTTTAATTGTTCATGTTATTTGTATTCTATTTGACTCAGGTTCAGCAAAATACAGCATGAAAGAAAAAGTAATATTCAGGCAGATTAGATAATGCATTAACAGAGCAAAAGAAATTTATATATTTAACTACTAAGGAGCACTTTTGACTTGGTATGTAGACAGGCAGTTGAGTTTTTATTTAAGCTGAAAGGCAATGACTAGGTTCCCAGTATTTCTGCAGTTATCCCTGACTTGAAAGAGAATTTATGTTTTTTTATGGTTTGGGTACTGTGGTGTTCAGCAGAATTTGTTAATCCAACTCTTCTGAAATACTGCCTCTTATCAGCAAGTCTTGACTTTTGAGTAGAAGCCATTGC